TATGGCCTGATATTATGTTCTTATTCCAGTGTGGGGTGTGTGTGGGGCTTTCTAAGTTTCTAAGCAGTGTGCTAAGAAGGCAACTGTTCCTGGGGTTAGCCCAGCCCAGGGACATTGCTAGGGCGGTTCCCAGGCCTCCCTAAACTTCTGGGGAGCCCATCCCTAAATCCCACATAGGTCCACCTCCATAGATAGTGACCATGGCCTATGATGTCACTAGCTCCTCCCTATGATATCATTGGGTCCCAGTTCTTTTAATAACTTAGCAATGCCTCTGGCCCAGCCCCAGCCCCCCCCCCCCCCCCCCCCCCCGGGAAATTGGAAAGTCTACGCCCTTGCCACAGAGTGATCATCAGAACTGTCGCTAGCCAGGTCCATGGTTTGTCTATATAATCACATGCCCAGGGCAGGCTAGGACTGTTCTTGCAGGCAAGAAATTCATTCTATGAACCACCCTTGCTTATTAACTTAGTGTGCAAATATTGAATATGTGATTTAAGTGTGTGCTGAGTAGGCATATAGATAAGAGAACAAAGAACTTAACTATCTCTGCAGGGACACGATTTAGATTATCCGTGTGCTCAACTCCCTCGTCACAGCTGTTTGCCTGGCACCAGGTCTTTCTAGTTTCCGGCGCCAAGCCAAGCCTTCTTTGTTCACTCAGGCTGAGTTTGTGAGTGTCCAGGCACTGCATATTGGTTCACTGAAGATGGCTGGATACTAGATGTATATTTACTGAATTGTTCAAATTTGGGATCCTGCGTGGATTTGATCTTTCCCAGTCTTTCTTCCTCGAGATCTGAGTTTTGTCCTCTAAACCTTACATGCTGCAGAAGTTGCAACAAGCTTTCTTCTAGAAGGATATCGATGCTTATTTATTGATCCTCTGCAGCTTCTACACTTAATGACATAGTCTTTCTGATTTCCTGCTTGGGAAACCATAGTACATACTGCAGTTTCTCCCTTTTCCTTCAAGTGGAGAAGCTGATAGGGGAAAAAAGCAATGTAGGGCTACCCTGGGGTTCTTTGAGAATTACAACTGATTTCCAGACCAGAGAGATCAGTTTCCCTGGAGAAAGTGACTGCTTTGGGGGAGGACTCTGTGGCATTACATCCTTGCTGAACTCCCTCTCTTCCCCAAACTCTGCCTTCCCCAGATCAAATCTCCAGGAATTTCCCAAGCTGGAGTTGGTAGACCTAGCCACACATAGCAGCTTGCAGAGAGAGAAATAGCAGCATATGCTGTTGTATTCAGACTTCTGCACAATTGTTCTGTCTGTATAACCAGACTGAAGTAAGGACAGAAGAGTGGCTGAGGGAGGCTTCTGTCACCCGTTGGAATACCTGTTTTACTACATGGATCACCCAGTAAGCTTTTTTCCTCAGTCCTCCTGTCATAAAATGGTGAGCTCCCAGATTCCTTATACCGATGGCGGTTGGATAAAAGCTTTAAAGTTTATGAGCTAAATCTCTCTACCTTGTCAGATGTCCTGACGGCCACTAGCTTAGGCCTGATTTCTGATGCAGTGGCAGAATGCGGAGGTGGTAGAATAGACTGAACCACTTCAGACTTTAGGGGTGGGATTACATATTTCAGATGTCCCCTGGGGTAAAAACTCCATGCAAGTGGGAAACTAGCAGAGCATGCAAAGGGCTAGAATCAATATCAGTGATGTGTGCGTTTTAAATTTTCATATAATTTTTACATGGGAAAGTGTTAAAAATGTGACTCAGTCTCCCTGTGTGTTGTCTAAAGTGGTACAGCCCGTTGCACAGCCTCCCAATTTCCCCACCTCATTCTAAACAGTGCTTGATGACTTTAAATTTGAGTTAACCAACTCATGGAGGATATGAGTTTTTATGGTAACTAGGCATAAAGAAGAAAAATACCTGTGAGTATTGACAGCTGTTAGACATTCTGGGCTGGAGAGTTGTCTTCATGGCCTGTTTGTGCATTTCTAGACTAGAAGGTGGCTTGGTCTGATCCAGCAAAGTTATTCTGATGTTCTTAGTGACCTCCACAGTAGTAGAATAACCAACAGTCTTAATGTACGGCTCTTAATTTACTGGCCAGAAGCTTTTGCTCATTCTGCAGTTGAAGAGAGTCTCTTTCAATAGCAAGGTGGTCAGCCGTGTTGGTCTGAAGCAGTAGAACACATTTAGAGCACCCTGGCACCTTTAAGACCAACGAAGGTTTATTCAAGGGATGAGCTTTCATGTGCAAGGCACACTTTTTCAAATACATTGGAATGGTGGAGGAGGTTCTAAACTTATAGACAGGGATTTAAAACAGCAAATTAACATGTAACATGATAATGTTTCAGTTATGCAAAGTGAAAAACTAAATAACAAGTTAAGGTTATAAAGTCAACAGTTGTAAAAGTGTGCCTTGCCCACGAGAGCTCATGCCTTGAATAAACCTTTGTTGGTCCTTAAAGGTGCCACTGGACTCTCAATTTGTTTCAATAGCCAGTTACTCTTGGCTCCACCGTGGTGGTTTGGTATAGCAGTGTTGCTGGAGGAAGCAGTAAGGTGAAAGGAAGCAAACTTGAGACTGAAAAAAATATAAAGGGCCAAATCACTGAGCTGGACTGGAGGAGAGGAAAGACAGATGTGCTGTCTCCATGCATAGTGGAAACTAGTGTTCCCTCTAAGCTGAGTTAGTGTGAGCTAGCCCACAGTTTTTTAGCCTCTGGCTTACACATTTTTGTCTTAGCTCAGGAAGGCTGGCTCCAGAGCAAACCAATTTATGCAGCAGCCAAATCGCTCACTCACAACTTTAATGCCGGGAGCTCACAGAGTAGAATTTTTGCTCACAAGACTCCACAGCTTAGACGGAGCACTAGTGGAAACTGTTTTTGTGGCAGCTATAATGTTTGGAAGTTGTTCACTACATGCTTTGACCAAATACGTCATAGGCATTGCACAGAGCTTGGATTTGAAACACTGATATTGGGGGCCCCTCTAATGAACATGAAATTAAGCAAACTCCAGAGCACGACGGAAGACAGGAGGGCCTGGCGTGATGTGGTCCATGGGGTTGCAAAGAGTTGGACTCGACAGTGCGACTGAACAACAGCTAAACAGCATGCAGGAGCCCATCTTCTTACCCTTTTTCCTTATGTACGGTGGCCATGAGGGGCTATGGGTTGGTTCAGAGCACCCTCCCTGTGGACCATTTTTCCTATCAAAATTGCTCCCCCGCCTAAAATCTTCTGAATGATTTAAATTTTTTTATTACATAAAATGCAGTAACATTTTTAAAAATCCTTTCTCTCTGCCTTCTATCTTGTATCTTTTTTTATCAGAGAAATACAGACAGGGCTAAGCACTCCTGACACTGCTCCAATCAAATCCCCTACCCACTCCACTGTTGCTTTTCAGTAAGCAGTCAGACAACTGCTGCCTTGTCTTATTATTGTATCCCACCATGCCAAGACAAACTGGCTCCTTGTCTAGTTTGGCCTTTGAACATACTACTTAGGACTATATAGACAGCTTGTCTTTTGTGTAAGACATTGAACCTGATTCTTCACTGCCTGTAGCTTTTGCTCTGGGTAATTAGTAAGTCAGGGTCATTTGAACACAGATTCCTTTATATGCCGCTTTTCTTCCCCAATGTGGATCCAGACTAGCTAGCATTATTCTCCTCCCCTCCATTTTATCCTCACAACCACCCTGCGAGGTTGGTTAGGCTGAGTGGCCCAAGATCACCCAGCAAGCTTCAATGGCAGAGTGGAGATTCAAACCTGGGTCTCCCAGATCCTTGTCCAACACTGTACATCACAGTGGTATAGCGGTGGCGGCTTTTTTTCTTTTCCCTTTTTTGCTAGAAAAGTTGCTTGGGGAAAGGTGTAAATGCTCAACCCTTACCTACTGTTTCCTTGCTCTGAACTCTCCCAAAGCCCCCTCACACACACACACATGCTGGGTTTCAACTGTGTGGCCTTATTCTTGTGCCAGTTCTATAACATACATTCCATCTTCTTTTCACCAAGGGCGATCCCGATGATGTGGTACCTGACCTTGGTAATCCATTTCCCCCCATTCTGTGCCTCTCTTGACTTTGGAGGAGCTTAAGCCAATACCTGGTTAAAATGTGGTTAGTGCATGTTGCTAGAGTTGCTATTTTTTAGGTCTCTAGAAGTAGAATCTCTGCAGGCCGGGGAGGGGGGAAGAATAGCTGCCTCTTGTCTCTGTTGCCGATGCATCCATGTACCCAAGATCTCTAAGACACTCTGCTGCGTGAAGCCTGCCTTTCACAGGCTGCCGGCGTTCATTTTGAACTATTCATAACATGCTGTGGGACAATTACGTTTTTCTAGTATGTCTTTAACCAAACAAGAGAAGCTTTTTAAGTCACTTCAAATAGGCTATTGCAAAGTGAGCATAGCACACAGCTGGTGAACTGGAGCCTTCGGCAATTGGTAGCAGTGAGAGGAAGGACTTTTTGGTGTGAGGACAGATTGCTGCAAGTGCCCATATTGTCTCTGTAAAATGTTGATGGGGGAGTGTGAGGATCCCAGCCCAACATTCCCTCCTTTCCCAGTGCCTGCTTTTCACCCAGCTGCTTAACTACAGCAGCCATCAGTGAGACTGAAGTCAGGTATCAAAGGGAGCAAACTTTTTTCTTTAAGTGATTGTGCCGTCTCATGTAGTGCAAGGGAGATTGAGCTGGGACTCCCATCCTCCCTCTGTTTATATATCTGTGTGTGTTTAACATCCCCCTCTTCTGGCCAGCAGCGCTGCTGTGTAAAGAAGCAGGAGGAATTGATTGACTCAAGAAAAGCTAATCCTTAATTTTCTTTTTCTCTGCCATTAAGCATGGTAGATCAAGAGAATGGCAAAGGCAACAAAAGGTGGAGCAAAGCTACTCATTTCACACTGTGTGTGTGTGTGGGGGGGGGGGAGAGAACCAGTTCCTTGATATTCAGCCCTGTTTCCAGATTCCCGGCATGTGAAAAGTTTAATGAGGGGTTTTTTTTGTCTCCATTCCCCAGAACTGGTCTGGAATGAAGTGCCAATTCAAGCTGCTGCGCATGGCTCTTGCCTTGATCTGTAGTGAGTATCCTCATACATTTGACACACATGAAATCCCACTTTGTTTCCCTCTTTCTCATTAGTGCACCCACTAACTCCAAGGTTATTTTGGTCCCATCCTTTCCTTAAACAAGAGACTTGATGGCTGGGGTTTGTAGTGGCAAAAAGCTTGGCAAGCAGAGCCTGAGTTCCATCATTTGTATTCCCGATCCAGTATGAAGAGAATCGCACTTACTGTACTCATTATCTCTTCGGGACAAAAACTGACTCATTCAGAATATAGACCTGCCTGTAAAAAATGGCATCCCCTGTGTCAATTTCCCATTTTCCCCCTTTCCTCAAGTTCCAATTACTTTGCACTGTTATACCATCACCTTGTACATTTACCTGCCCTGATCTACATCAACCTGACATAAGTGCATGACACCACAACCTGACATAAGTGCAAATGCATGTTTTGAAAGGGGAGAACACAACATAAGGATGCCATTTGGGGCAGCAGCCCTGTGAGGGATGTAACACTAGTCTGGAACATTTTGGGGGGGATCTTAGTATTTGTGTGTGTGTCTGCACCTGGCAGGCAGGTTGACCTCTGGTGTCTCACCCCCTACTGAGGGCCTGGAGGTGAGCTGAATAAAGCCTGCCTCTGTCCTCCTGGCTTGGTATTCCAAGGAAGTCTCTCATCCAAGTACTAACCACTTAGAACTTAGCTGCCGAAATCTGATGAGATCAGGCTTGCCTGGGCTATCCAGGTCAGGGCGCTAGTCTGGAACATTGATGTCTGAATACCTTCACACACACACAATAATGTGGAGATTACTTGGAATGGGCTAACCTGATGTATTGTTTCTTCTTCCCTCCAGTGAGCTTTGAATTCGGGAGAGCCGTGTGGCTGAGGTTCTACCCATCTGCCTATCCTCCATGTCCACACCCAAGTTTTGTTGCCCACCTTGGTGGAGTAGCAGTCGGAATCACTCTAGGTGTGGTCATCTTAAGGAACTATGAGCAAAGACTCCAAGACCAGTCCTTATGGTGGATCTTTGTATCCATGTATATGGTATTCGTTCTCTTTGCCATCTTCTGGAACATTTTTGCCTATAGTCTGTTGGACCTGAAACTACCTCCACCTCCTTGAGAGTCTGAGTTACGAACCTGTAAAGAACAAATGGATGACTTCCTTCTGGCAGCTCCGTTGGAAAGAATCCAACTTGAGGATTTATTTTTGTATGAATATCACTGGATATAAGCAGATCCATCTTCTGGAAAGGCACATAAGGGGGAAGTATACTGCACATCCGGGATGTGACCATATTACTTAAAAAGTTTGCTTAGGTTACGGCTGGCCAAGAGAATTTGCTTAGACGAAGTCTGGGCATGGAGATCTGCTGATATCACCGTAAGAGCCTTGTATCTCTTTGCCCATGCAACTGGCTTGGTGCAGGTCTTCTGTTCAGCCCTATACTGGTGTAACTCGATACTTAACTATCACATATTGGTGAATGTTAATGCACACAGTGAAAGTCTGTTTGGATTGAATACATTTCCCCAGGTTGATCTTTCTTTCACTACACTTGTGATTGAAAGTTTACAAACCGCCATCAGACCCCAGGGAGAAACCTCTCCATTTCTTTAGCTAATGAGGCAGTCAGCTCTGGCAAGGCAGCTCACCTTGCTTTTCACTGACAGCCTGGACTGCTCTGTAGTACCACTGCTAGTGCCCAATGAACCCGGACAGTTCATCAAGGCTAGTCAGTTACAGGGAGGCTATTTCATAAAAGCTTCCCCTAAGACATCAGCAAATAGGGGTTCTTAGCCAGTGGCAGAAGCCAATTTTCAACTGAAAGATAAACCAAATTGCTTTTTTGATGGTGCTGTAACCAGGTTGCTAAATGCAGTTGCATATTTAATTTGATTGATATACAATTTTGGCTGGGTTTTTTGTTTCTAGAAGCATATCACTTTGGAAGCTTTGGGCAGACCGAACGATTTGGGTATTTTGTTGACAATCATGTTGTTTTCTTCCACCCCAACCCCCACCTTATTGTTCTTGTGTATTCTCAAACAGCATTTGCTCTATGACCAGACAGGGATTGCCAGATCTCTTAAGTTAAAGATGCCATCCCAGAAAGTCACACCCCTCTAGATCCTAACAGATGCATCTGAATTTCTATGCACATTGTAGAACACAGGTCACTGCTATATGGCACTGTTTTTATTTTTGAGATTTTGAGATCTTACATACTTGAAAAAAGTATCTCGGCACTCATCTAACAAAATCTCTGCTCTGTTCTTGTTTTTAAAAATTTGAATCTTTTCTTTTCTTTCTGCTGATACATTGTTGAAGTAGCCAAACCAGGATCTGCTTTCAGTGGGATCAGGGATATATTTGGCAATGGTACCTCAGCTACAGCCTGATTTTTAGGGCCAAACTACACATGACACTAGAGTTCCATGTTCAGATAACCAGGAGTATAATGGAGCTTCAGAAGGCTTCTTGTGGGAAGGCCTGATATGGATGTGGTGCTGGGGAAGCAGGGGTTAACTCTTTCTTTTTTTTTCTCTTTCCCCCACCATTTCCCCCCTTTGGAAATTCCTGTCTCCCCAGCTTCTTAAAGCCCAAAGAGGAGGAAAAAACACACAGACTTCCAACTTCAGATGTAGTTTGTCCTAAGGCCAGCAAACCTTAATATCATCTTGTCTCTTCAATCAATTGGTGGAAGCTCATATAATTTAATGCTTCCAGTGCAAGAGATTCCCCACCAGCAGAAAATTAGCATTCCAGGGAGAAGATAACTGGCAGGCACCATTTTCCTTGATGCCTGATTTCTGATATGAAGCCTGATTTCTTTGTAGAGATGCAACCCAGGGGCAGCTTATATAAAGAGAAGCATTCAACCATCTGAGACCCAGAGCAAGGTGGTTTCATCAGGTACATAGATTATACCTGGTAGATGGTGGTGGTGATTGTTAAGGAACAAGAGCTTAGTAAATTCACAATGCCATGCTGAAGACTGACGAAATCCACAAGTGCAACAAACTAATGATAATGCAAAGTACACCCAGAATGAAGGTTGTAGAATACCAAATGGCTGATGCTTGCAAATTACTCCCGTTGTCCTGCCTATAGCACAGCGAGCACACCAAAAAATGCATCACATCCCAACCCAAGAAGGGTATCGGACCTGAGAGACAGAAGAATTCCTCCTCAGGGTTCTCTTCTCCGATATCTCTCAGTGAGCAATCCATCTCTCATTTCACAGTTCTGCTTTGTCTCACTCTGTCCCTCAACATTTAGAAAGCAGGGAAAATTTCATCAGCTGCAGGATGCCCTCTGCAACCGGGGGCAGGGGATGCAGCCAACTCCCCATTACATATTGGCATGCTTGTTGGAAAACGGGAACCACAAAGATGACATTCATTTTTGTATTAGGATATGGCCAGTGTCCCGTAGCAGTCCTGCTTAAATCGTTGCTTTATCGTGTTAGATGTAAAATACCAGTTACACAGAGCTGAAATCTGACCATGCAGGGCAGGATGTCCTGTTGTAAGAAGGAAACCAGAATTCTGAAATTCTCCTGCCTGCATTTTGACTGCTCCAATAGAGCTTACAGACTACACGGCTGCCAAAACACGCACATCTGAATGATTGGAACATGGTTTGGCATCAGTCATTAATCCAATGAGTTTATGTCAAATCCTTTCTTCTGTTTTGGATTTGTTTTCACTTTGCCTAAAGCTTCAGGTTTCTGTGTGCTGTGTGTTCATGGGTGAAAAGGAGGAAATAAATAACACCGCTATTGTTTTTCCTATGACTATGAATTTACATTCACCTCCGAGCTATTTTCTGCCAGCGAAATGTCCATTGGTATGAAAGGCATGGTGGAGGATGGGGAGGGACTTCTTTACCTGCCATGAAATCCAGAAGAGTCAAGCGGGGGGGGGGGAGAGTCTGAGGAGCAGTTTTTTGTCCCACCACCATGGTTTGAGGTTTAATTTTCTCCTACTTGGGGGGGGGGGCACCTCTTCACTTCCATGGGAGAAAGTAAAAGGTTGTACTCAGGCATCAGAGGAGTGTGTCTCCATGTCTGGGATGTGAGACATACTTCCTCTTCACTATGTTCCAGATTTAAAAGGTAAAGGTAAAGGTTCCCTTGCTCGAAAGCCAGTCGAGTCCGACTCTAGGGTTGCAGTGCTCATCTCCGTTTCAAAGCTGAAGAGCCAGCGCTGTCCGAAGACGTTTCCGTGGTCATGTGGCCGGCATGACTAAACACCAAGGTGCATGGAACGCTGTCACCTTCCCACTGAAGTGGTACCTATTTATCTACTTGCAATTTCTTGCTTTCGAACTGCTAGGTTGGCAGGAGCCAGAATACAGCCCATTTATTTGACCCCTTAGAACCAAGGGCCAAACTAGACAGGACAGCAGCTGCTCTGATCATGAAGAAAAGGGAGGGGAGATGGGAAGTCCGTTTTTTAACAGCGAAAGGACCCTGTGGATGAAGAGTGCAGATTGTATTCCAGGTGCCTTTTCTCCTCAGCTGATACTGGGAATGACTTTGGTGGGTGTAAGACACAGGCTTCGGGTTCTCTGTCAGAATACTTCAGGCTCCACAATCAGGCTTGGCAAATCAGGCAAAAAAAGCTTTTATTATCAAAAAACAACAAAGGCAACCTCAATTAACAATGCTTTGAGGATAAAGAAAATTCCACGTCCTTCAGGGGGTTGCCAAAATACAAAAAGTAATTAAAATAAACTGGAACTTACAATAACTCCACAAGGTAGGAAAACATCCTGCCCACCAAACGCGCGTTATCCTCCCCCCCACAACTTTTGCTATTTTATCTTCGGAAGGACCTGTTAAGACATTGCCCCTCCCTGTCTCCAGTGCAGCTGTTAGTTAAGAGATCTCAGCTGTGCAGCTTTTGCAAAGCTGAGTACCGGACAGTTCCTGTAGACTTGCAAGGTTGATCCTCCCCCTTCTGCCGTCCTTCAGTTCTACAGAGTTGCTGTGTTACTGACAGGTTGGTGTCTTCCTTACAGTGGGGTGAGGAGTTCTTAGCAAAGAGACTGGGAAGAGGTGGACCAGCAGACATGAAGAGTGCTGAAGCCTCTACCCAGAGAAATCCCCGTTGCTGTTAAAACTGGATGCCCTTGCCCCTTGCTTAGGGCATATTAAATGCAGGGCTCTGCCACCATCATGTGGTCGCTTGACCCTTAATAAGAGTAATTGAACACTAAAGCCAGCCTCTGGCTATGTATCTGCGTAGCCCTTTCCTTGGATCTGTGTATTATTCTTGCGACAGAATGGCAGAGACTGAATCCATGATCTGGCTGTTTTATGTGTGGCTAGGTTTTCACTGCTGTACATCACGATCGCTAATACACTAGAGAGGACATAAATATTGTCCTGTACCACATATTCTAGACAGAGGTTCAGCTCATCTGCTGTTTATGAAAACTGGGCCTTAATCCTGTAGCAGCCAGAACTTCCTGTGTAATCTGGCTTTGAACTATAATACACATTTTCCATGTCAGCAATTAGGGGTGAAATCTGCTACCCGACCCAGGTAATCGGCCTTCTACCACAGCAAAGGGCGTGGATCAAGGGCAATACAATAATCCATTCATTGTGCTCTTCTGCATCTGTATTGCATAGGCTGTTCAATGCAGCCGCCTTCGGTACAGTGCAGCCATCGAGCTCACATATGCCTTCCCCCCCCCTTTTTAACACAAATTAATATTCTGCAAGAGACTACTGAATAACAGCTATGTGAGGCTTAAGTATTTCTCCTGTCAAATCACCCAAGACATAGAGGCAGTTCTGAGTTCAGCGGCCTCTTAAATTCACCCAGTCGTTCTGGGATATTGGTGCTCCAATGAGTGATTAGAGGATAAATTTCCCTCTTACCTCCAGGTGTCCTTGCTAGCTTACAGCACTGCAGTGCCCAAGATCCTTCTAGATTAATTGCAACTTGCAGTGGGTCTTAAACTCTTCTTCATGGAACAGTCATTGTGCCGAACTTAGCTACTGCCATACTAACTCAGTGTGGAAATATATTTAGTGAATAAAATGCTCTTGGCTAGGGGAGGCGGTGCTGGTTTAAAGCCTAGCAAATGCACACTTGTTACTTTTTAAGCCAGTCTTATCTTTAGATGATATTTGGGGGATGGGCACACTGCCAGAACATGCTATAAGATCTGCTCCTTTCTAACGAAGCTTTTATAGCCCTGAGTTTAACGCGGAGGCAAATGCGTAGGTGCTGAAAGAGACCAATGGCTCAGCTCCTACAGGGACATCTGCTGGCCAAGGGCAGGGGATACTTGTGTAGCAATGCTTTCTAAAAGCGGTGCTCTCAAACCTGAGCCTAGATTTTTTAAAAAATGACTGCAGGCTTCTTCTGCATTTGAATAATTTCTCTACATAGGCTGAAAGTGAGGTTACTAAACTTTGCTACGGGTATTTTAAAGTTAGGTTTTTCTTTCATCTATCTGGGCAGGAAGACATCTCTGCACACAGTAAATATGTGCTACAGTTGCCCCCACCCCCTTATGCCACTGCAGGGAGCTAGCTGGTATATGCTGCATGCACAGAAACTTTGGCTCTGTGGAGTAGAGCTGCCACGGACCCCTTGACAAAAAGATTCTCACTGGGGTCACCTTCAAGCCAAACAACATGTGAAAACAAATTACATAATTTGTCCACCTCATGCACCTCCTGACTGGCCAAGGGACCCTAGATTTTTGTCCTTCTAAGCCACGTAATGTTCCTGCTTCTCTCCTATAAGTCATAACGCTCGCCCACCTTTTGTGCCATTTTTGCAACGGTAGCCAAAACTGCAGCTTGACCCCAGCAACATCACAATAATTGATCGTCAAAATGTTACTATTCCGGACCAAGTTTTCCATGGGAGGCTGCTGGAAAGGTGGGCCCGGTAGGACACTGTGCCTGAACCAGGAATTTCTTGGCAGTTTCCCCTTGTATTGCCAAAGTGAGCCATATTGAAAAACAAATCTCATAGGATTTTATGCTCAGTTCATGTTCTCTCTGGTTTCAACATGGATTTGAAAATGTCACTTCCAAGTCATCTTTGACAATCACACGGTGTTTGACCCAAAAGACGTTGGGAGCATATAAGAGCCTGTTACCTTTATCCTGAGCCTCTGTGATTCCGCAACAGCACACATCGGGCAGCCTTTGGGCCCAGGAATATCTTTACAAACACAACATGGAAACTTCAGCAGTGAGCTGCAGCACACTTCCTCCCCCAGTAGCCTTGCCTATAAAGTCTTGGGAAGTCAAGCAAAGCCTACTGACACGTAAGCTGTCAACCTCACCTCTGCCATCCAAAACCCTTGAAAGAATGTGTAGCTACACCAATGTCAGTCCTCTCAGTTAGGAGGTCATTGGTGAGCCAAATGGCCACAGTGTCAATGATGGATGGGTCCAGGATGTGGCTGGAGGGCAGATGGCAGAAACTTTTGCTGAAGCTAAGCAGGTCTGGGGTTGATCAGTCCCTGGATGGAAGCAAGGCAGGAGATCATTGTAATAAATAGCAAGAATTGGTTCTCCCCTGGTTGGTACTTATTCTGCCTCCTACAAGCTGTGGGATTGCAAGAAACATTGTCAGGCTGCCCACCGCACATCAGTACAGCACCTAAGGAATATGTTGGAAATCAGTACCTAAGGAATATGTTGGAAATGTGAAGACAAAGCCTCAGCGATTCAGTCATGTCATGAACGGAAGTGAAACAAAAGCAGACTTGCTTGAAGGTGAATGCATTTTAATACCATCATTAATTCCTGGTTTCTAAACTGGAGAAAGCTCTGTGCTGAGGTTCTGTAGAATCCCCCTGCACATTTGTATCACAGAGTGCTTTACAAGAGAAGACACAACACAGAATTTCACAGGCAGAGTTTGTGGAACAAAACACACAGATGCTATTTTTCACAAAATGCATTAAGTCACTGCCTCCCCACAGCGTCTACTCCACTTACAGCTAGAGCAGATTTATGGAGCTTTTCTTTCTCGTGCTTACCCAATGAGTACCTTCCTATGTTGTTACCCATTAAAGCACCAAATGACATAACGCTGCCTTAAAAAAACAAAAGCCGAATGGAACATGCTTTCCCATCAAGGGCTAGTAGAACAAAACGGTGCATTCAAAGTAGCATGCTGTATGGAGTTTCCAAATATTTTTCTATCCTGTACATACTGTATAGTTTTGTTCTAACACTTACTTGTGCACAGAGTCCATTAAAGATCTGCTGATCAGATATTTTCTTTCTGTTAAAAAACACAGATATCTATGTAAACACGCCAAAAAACACACACCCCAACTTGTAAAAGGGATGGGTCATGTTTTACAAATACGACTATAATTAAATAATTAACAACTATTTTTGCTGACAGTATGATTTGCTTTGAACTCTAGGTCAGACCAGTGCTTCGACAGAGACAGTCTAGCAGAAGTGAGGTGTACTCAAATACAAGAAACTGTATGCAGACCCCGTTTGCTGTGTGAGGACTCGCCTGTGTGAAGAGTGCATACTGTATCCTCATTTCAGGGCTGCACCTACAGTGTTCAGAGCCAGCTCACTCCTTCTATATGCATCACCTGTTTGGGGCCGCATTCGGCCCCTCACAAGCCCAATCGGCACTGTCAAAACAGACTTTGCCGTTTGATGAGGTAACACGTATCAGCCTTCACTTTGCTGTTTGGTGAGGTTATGCGTATCAGCCCATTGCTGCATGTAAGGATCTTTGGATTGGGGCCTTTGGAACATAACATTTTGTAGGACTGAAATCCCATGACCAGTGGGAATGTGAAGCAACAATATTATGAATGTGAAACATCTCAAATCTCACTATATATCATGACGCAGGAGATCTACCAAGGGAGGCAGTTTCTAGATGCTGTGGATCCAGTCAGGGACTACCCAGGTCTGGAAACAGGCTTCTACATACTCATTTCATGCAGAAACCAATACCGCATGGGTGATGTTCAGCCCAAATGCAAGAGCCACTGCTTAGCATCCCTAATGATTTTTAAAAGCAATCTATACTTTCTCTGACCAGCTGTTCAGAAGCAGAGTGGGCAGCAGAACTCAGCCCCCAACCCCATGTTTCCCTGCCAGATTCCTGTTGAAGGGGGATGACAGCTTTTAAGAAGGGCATGAGAGAGATTTTCCCCAGCAGCTGCCACATCAGAATCCTCTGACTGCTTCTTAAAGAACATTAGACTTGAGAAAACTATTCAGGGATCTGGTAGAAGCCTTCTGTATTGAAACTGTGAAGTAGTTCTCACGTCCGTTTTCCCCTCAAAACAGGGCTCTCACATTGCAGCCCAAACTGCTTTTTAAACTCATGGAATCACACTGGGATTTTCGAAGGAGACACATGGAAAGAGCAAACTGCAGAAGAAGTCAAGAGCCTGTGCAGATGCTGTGAGCTGCATTATCTAGCTTGAAGCCACAGCTGCAATAAGGCAAATGTATTCAGTAACTACAACACTCAAGTTGTTACTAATTCATGATGTGCGAGCAAGTGCCAAACAAACAAACAAAAGGCTTATGTAGCTGAAAAAGCTTTCCAGCCTCTTTAAAGATACAATATAACGTAATCCTTCCAACAATTATTTCATAAGAATTTATTTTAATAATCTGATCAAAATGTTGAATCATGATCCACTGTAGCAGCATTTACATATTTAGTACTTTCCAAATTTGTAACCATAAAATCATCACTGACATTAAAATGTATTGTTCTTGGTCCCATTATGGAAAATGCAACCAGCATATAGCCTGTCCGGCATCCCCCACCACAAAAAGAACAGGAATTTTCACGTAGCAAGATCTGAAACTTAATTGGAAGAGCTTGTGCAAAATGAAATGTTTACAGATTAAACCCAAACCATGCTGCCTTTTTTTTTGTTTTGAAAATAAAGGAAATGTTAAGTGTTGCTTTGTTATCCAAAGTTTTCAAGTACAAATGTATACAACACCGAATTCTGCTTCATGGTAAGAATGCTACTTCTGTTCAGTCTTCAACTAAAAGCCATTTCCAGTGTTATGAAAATAGGCTAATACAACATATAGACACGACGCGTGGGTAGACTAGGTATGCCCTCTGAAGTGCAAGAGAAAAGCATGCCTTTTCTTGACCACGTGGATGCACATGTGGGAAACTACAGCCCCACTGTGCACATGTGGCTAAAAAGGGGAGTCTTCCTTCATGCACATTACACCCAGGTGCACCTTAATTCTGTAATATATACATAGCCCTAAATTAAAGGAAGTGGAACTAGGCTACAGCTGACTCTCTCATAAACTCCTCAAGGACAGTGATTACATTTTTGGCTTCTTGCATTTCTGCGTGTTCCACTTTTACAATCTTCAAGAGGACATCTCCACTCCCACAGTTCTTCAGAAACAAGTAGCACTTGAACAAAGCATAATGGTTCATCTCTGCCTGCTGGATGAACCGCTTCAGATTGTTGATGTCTTGTATGGCCTGCAAAGACAAGCAGCAAACAAGTCCTGAAGCCCCCGCGGTGGATGCAAAATGGCACAAATGCGTGTGTGTGTAGCCCTGAAAGAAAATCAGCAGTACTGCAGATCAGCTGGGCAGGAGAGGAGTGGGCTAAAGTTATTTGTAAAGAGATGATCGGCAGAATTGCCGGGTGTTTTAGATGGTTTGTGTCTTCTGATCTGAATTCAAGCCCCTCATGTTCAGTATGCCAATATATGGAGATCCCTGTGGGTAGAATTTCCTACCATTAAGCAGGGATCAGAAAATTAGGGGGACAATCCAGCCTAAACTAAACACTCCAGTACTGCTATTGGAACAAAGCAGACTCAGACGTACGGACATTTTGCTACCTTATGCCCAGTAACCTTTTGTTTTTTGGTTACAGCTCATATCTTGACATTCAAAAATGCTAGTTCTCCTCTGTATCTAATTATAAATTAAGGTTCTGTTCTGGTGACTGGATACTTTCATCTATCAGAAGGTACCAATACAGATTCCGTGGTCTTAAAACCAAAACAGGCAGCCTAAATCACAATCCAGCCATGCTAAAGTACAGGATTTGAACTGAATGGCATGCATACAGATTAGAGATGCAAGCCAAGGCTGTGGCCCATTGCACCCTGAACTGTCTGGCACAACTGGACAGTGGATTAGGTTTGTACCCAAGCGGCACCCTAACAAGTCTCTGCTTGAATATCCATGAATGGTATCTGATACTACACACACACACACACACACACACACACACAAAATAAATAATGGAAATTACCTTCAATTTAAAGTTCTCCAATATTTGCCGGAAGAGAAATGGGTTTCCCCCTTCAGAACCATTCAGAAACACTTGTGTCCATTCTTCACAAAATTTGTTACTGCCTGTCATGCATTAAAAAGGGGGAGTATTTAATACCCTTTCATCATGAATTTCCTCACTTTAAGTAGCATGAGGAAGATGTTCCATAAAATGTAGAAACAGAATAGAAGAAACAACACAGGTTGGGTCCCACAGTCCATAAACGGAAGGTGCTGATGGTCACAGATCTTTCCTACCCCCCCCCAGCAGTTCCTTATGACCCCAGGGAAGTTTATATCCAGGGCTGCTCGACACTTGGGAAGTGGCACACAGACACCCAGCTTTTCCTACTAAAAGGAAGGAGGGAAGAGTGGGGAGGGGCATGCATGGGCCACATGAGGCCCTCCAAATGCTTATCCCTTTGGACACAGCAGTAGGTTTACAAGGGCTCTCCAGACTCCAGACATCAGTTCCCCCTGGAGGAAATGGCAACTTCAGAGGATGGACTCTACGGCATCACATCCCCGCTGGGCTCCCTCCCCAGGCACACCCCCCCCAAATCTCCAGGAATCCCCCAAGCTACAGTTGGCAACCCTGCACGGCAAGCATCATGTTAGCAATTAGCAAAGTTGGCAGCCGAAGGATTTTTCGCATAACTGGTTAACGGCTCTGTAAAACTGAACTGCGCTGATGCGTCGTTGCCTGGAATCTCACCTGCATTGTGGAACTGAGGCTGTGGCCCACTACAGTCTACGACCACGGATTTGCACTGTTCCTCGTTCATTGCCATGCACAACGATGTCATTGTGGCTTCCTGAACAAGACCTTGAAGGCTTGCAGCTCTAAGGAAACTTCAAAGGAACAGGAATGTTTTTACACACATTTGCAGCTTATCATTTCAAGGGCTGTCAAAAGTCGCCATGGGCCAACAGACCGAAGCTTCCCCTGGGGTCCCGTCTCTCATTTATAAAACAAAACAAGCTAGAAAGGGAGAAGGGTGGGGAAGGGTGAAAGAAGTCCCACTGGCTTCTCTTTCATTGTCCCCTCTCAGCCTGGCAAACCAGAGACAGACACAGAGTGGCTCATCGCTCCTTAAGGAACAGAGCAGGAAAAAGCTTCTCTCGGATTCCAGGATCGTTCACTTTACCCTTCTGCACTTTAACCTAGCAAGCACTGTCTGGTGGCAGGGTTAAAGGAAGTGGTTATGCATTCCTAGAAAGGCCTGCAGCTTTTCTGAAGCCCTGAGATTTGAGCTACTGGTCAATCCATACGATTCAGCATCATTCTGGCTTCTTCCTTGCTCTTGTATATAAGTACAGAGAACAAAGTTTGAGTCAAGTGGAACCTCTGAGACCAACAAAGTTTTATTCAAAGCGTAATCTTTTGTGTGCAAAACACACTTCTTCAGACAAAAATGGAATAAAATTGCAAAAGCTAGTTACAGGGAAAAAGAGGGTGGGGGTAAGCCATTAGGAGAGGCCACTCAAAACCCAGATGCACAGCTGAAATTGGAATGGGTGGCCGGTAAGATCAAGGGATGGCAGCAAATTAGCACATAAATGCAAGAGTTAAAGAGATGTGAGAATGAAATTGGAGTTCAGCAGCACCCCCAAGAAAAACCAAGCTCAACCCCGTGTACGTGGAAGAACAGAGACTCAGCATGCGCACATTTCACTTAAAGGGATGTCAAAAGTGTAAGTAAAGCGAGACAGGTGGGCTGCCAAAGGAATTTTGGGCCCTCATCCTCCCCTCTTGAAAGTCCTGGACCTGACCATTTAACTCGAGTCAGGGGAAAAGCAAGGCCCTTGTGATATGACCAACTCAGCCACCTAGGGGAAACATGGTCTTGAAGGGAAATTTGCCTTTACCTGTTGATGTCCTTCTTTGTCCTTTCGTCTGACTCTTTGACTTCCACTGAAGTGTAACTCAGAGCCTTGAAATATGGAAGAAACAGTGTTGCAGCTATAGTCATAGTTTCGGTTTCTATATACAACCCAGCAAGTTTCACTCCTGCACCTCTGGATTGCTATTCCCCCCCCTCCTATTTTATCCAAACAACAGGCTGAGAGAGACTGACTGGCCCAAGGTCACCCAGTAAGTTTCAGGCCTAGCAGAGAATTGAACCACTCGATCATGCTTTCTCTCACTTTCTCATGCTATCTGAGCCAAGTGGAATGTTAGCACCCTGTAAAAAGCATTAAATAATGACGCCTTTGGACGTTAATGCATTCCCAAGGTCACCCAGTAAGCTTCATGGCAGAGGAATGATTTGAACCCAGTTCTGTCCAACCCTAGACCAAAACTCTAGCCTAGTGATTCTCAGTTTTGGTTTTGCAACATCCTAGAGTGTTGTCGACTATCTCAAGGAGTGCTGCAACGAACTTTCAAGCCAACATTTAATTTAAAAAGTATATGTGAAATAGCCTTTTTTGTTCTGGGCCGTATTCAGAATCAGAAATGCAGTGGAACGGATTGAGAAGATCCTTTCCATTGTGCAGGATGTCAGTAATCCCCAGGAGCTAAATTTCAGGGAGCACAGCAGGCTGCAGAGGGATGGGGGGAGTTGGAAAATTAAGTTCCACAAACAGAACTTTATTCTTCCTGATTTAATGAAATACAATTTTTATTTTTTTTTAAATAAACTTTTATTTTAGTACAACCTAGAGGGAGGGCAGGAGACATAGTATAGCCCAGTGATGGCGAATCGTTTAGAGACCGAGTGCCCAAACTGCAACCCAAAGCCCACTTATTTATCGCAAAGTGCCAACACAGCAATTTAACCTGAATACTGAGGTTTTACTTTAGAAAGAACAACTCATACATTAACTTAAGATGATCCAAACAAAGTAAGGAAAGCAATCCCAAATGCTTTCGTTTACTTAAAATGATTTGGCAGAGAATTCTACACTTTAATGATGGTCTGGGCCTGGCTGGGGCGATGGCACGCGTGCCCACAGAGAGGGCTCTGAGTGTCACCTCTGGCACCCGTGCCATAGGTTCGCCACCATTGGTATAGCCTGATCTCATCAGATTTCAGAAGCTAAGCAGGTTCTGTACTTGGAAGGGAGACCACGAAGGAAGACGCTGCAGAAGAAGGCAATGGCAAGGCAAACCATCCTGTTTCTCACTTGCCTTGAAAGCCCCTTGCTGAGATCTGATGGCACATACGTATGCATACTACCTAGAATTTATGATATTGAGGGGTATCACGAAATGAAACAATACTTACAATGTTGCAACTCCAAAAAGGTTGGGAATCACAGTTCTAACCACTACACCACAGTGGCTCTCAGTGCTTTTACTATTTGATTCACTTGCATGCAAACACAACATCTAATAGGTAAAGGTAAAGGTTTCCCTTGCTCGAAAGCCAGTTGAATCCGACTCCAGGGTTGTGGTGCTCATCTCCGTTTCCAAGCCGAAGAGCCAGCGCTGTCCGAAGACATTTCTGTGGTCATGTGGCCGGCATGACTAGATGCCGAGGCGCACGGAACGCTGTTACCTTCCCACCAAAGCGGTACCTATTTATCTACTTGCAATTTCTTGCTTTCGAACTGCTAGGTTGGCAGGAGCTGGAACCAGAGACAGGAGCTCACTCCGTCATGCGGCACTCGGGTCTCGAACTGCAGAACTACCAACCTTCCAGCATGCAGCGTCTTAACCACTTGAGCCACCGCAACTCCAGAACATCTAATACAAGCTATCAAAAACAGTTACCTGAATTGAAAGATAAAGGCAGAAGATGGGCATTTGTGCAATACTCACAGCATGTAACACAAAGGCAAGTTTCTCCTGAAAGAGCTGTACTACCCTCTGAATAGGGCACACAGAGTCCTCAAACCAAGGTCTAAGAAGGGGTTGAACACACGTCTCCAGATCATCTGGCTGCAACAAATTGAAAAGAATCAAGCTTTTATATACAGCTACAAAACTTAATTCCCCCGAATCTCTTTTCTGGGATTCCAGATGGCACTCTAGCAATTCTTCTCCAAATTACACAAGAATCTTGCTAATTAGACATCCCAAGTCAAACAGCTGAGCAGGAAGAAAACAGCACAACTGTTACCTTCGCATCAAGGTTAATCTTCAAGTCTTGCGTGTACCTGTCCAGCTCATGTCTGAATGTAAACTCTTAAGGAAATAACTGTCTACATCTGTTCAGGCATCTAAATGGTATTTTCAAAAGAGACACAACAGTTGCATGCAATCCTAAAAAGTGAATCTTAAAAACACTTTCCTGGGAGTAAGCCCCATTGAATAGACCTGCTTAGGATTTGCACCTGTAGAGCCCTTCATCAAAACCCACACTGGAAAGATATGTACAGACCATCTAACGGCATCTAATTCAAGTGACTGACTAAGGAATGGCCAACATCTTCATCAGTGAGATGTCCAAAGTATTATAATTTAATCTCTGAATTTGGGATTGCTTTTCTATAGTCCTAGGTTGTGATTCACGTTTGCCTACTAATGTTCAAATGTGTTTGTGGAACCATGATGTCCAGAATATTCTTTTAAAAATTAAACGGGTATTCTCAGAAGTCTAAGAGACACCATGGAGTGCACAAAAAGGAATTACGAGGCAATACAGGTCTGCCCAATGATCTCTGTGCTCAAGGATGTGACTATAATACTGGTAACAGAATATGGTTTTTCAGTTATGGTCTACTTTTACATTCAAAGGTAGCAAAAAAAAGGATATAGTTCAAGCCCCTTCTCTGAGCCTCCCAAAAAGCAGACAACGTAGTCTAAGGAACAGATACTTGATTCTGAGCTTGCCATTTCTGCATGTTTTTCTGGCTCGAGCAGGCAGTAATAACAACCAACTTGGCTTTCTGGTATACTGGACAGAGAAATACAGAGTTAATTATGTGTAGATTGTGTCAAATCAGTTTTACTCTGTGTACCATGTGGGAATTTGTCTGCTCATTGATCATATTGTAAACTGAGTACTTGATCTACTGTGATCCAGAGTTTCTGAACCCAGAATCTACAGACACGTCACAGTTGTCAACACGGCCCATCAAGGACACTATGCAGTGCCCATGTCATTTCAGTATTAAGGCCAAACCGCAGGGAACTGGAACAACTTGTCACTGAGGCTGGAAGTATGTTATGATCCACTTAGAAAACATTATATCCCACTTTTCTCCTTGATTGGGACCCACGGCTGCTTTTGCATTGTTGTTCTCCACTTTATCCTCACAGCAAAAACTTTGTGAAGAGAGGTTAGGCTAAAAGACCCTGACAGGCCCCGGCTCCCCTGGTGAGCTTCCGTGGCAGAGGACACTCTAACCACTATGCTGCTCCAATGAAAGCGATCGCCCTGCACGTCCTCCTCTCCCCTCTGTAATACTGACCATTAGCAAAGGATATGGTGCTATGAGTCTCCTCACCCTACAAGTGGCAGCCAATGACAGAGAGAAGGGCCAGGGAAACTCATCCCATTATAGCAGCACTTCATACATTTTCCAGGAGAGAGAAGATACAGGACTGCTGCATTTGGAAATGTCCATCACACCTCATTCCAGCCAGAGTATAAAATTATTTGACACACCAGAAAGCAGACTTGGTAAGTATGCACTTTCTTACCTCAGCTCTACAGATGCAATGTTGCCCATCCCTTCAAAAAAGGCTCCCTTGGCAAGATGTCTGGCAATAAAACTGCGCAATTCTGCCTCTGCTTCAGCTGGTAAGTTAGTGTCCACCAAAGAGAGGCTGAATGAATGAAAAACAAACACCGCTCAGTGAGGCACCGGATTCCCCTGGGCTCTACCGCTGGCTCTCCTAAAGCACCTGTTCAGTTCAACAGGCTGCACGCAGGTGTACACAGATCTCCGTGGATCGTAGCAGATCACTGTTGGAGAAAGTACTTGATGGGCTCTCTCAGAGGCCACTGACAAAAGAAGGATACTGCCTAGCTTAGCAAGCAAAAGCTCCCTGCCCGGTTCTCTTTCTAGCAGCATCGTTTCAGTACTGACAACGCCCCCAGATGCACTGAGGAGTCTGTTCAGTTGCACATACTCCAGCACTCTCAGCCCAACTGACTGATTCTCAGAAGTTCTATGCAGGAAATGGAAACTTTGCTTTGTTTTGGCTTTGTTGCCTGCACAGGACTTAAATGAGAATTAGTTCTTTGGAAGAAAAAAAACCCCTTAAGGCCCTTATTTCTGCCTCACCCATAATTATGGCTCTGTCGCTTTTGCAGTTCTTGTTTCTATAGGGCTGCTGCCCAAAAATAATTTTAAGGTTATGGCCTCAAGAGCAATTATTATACAAGCCAGCCATCCCACGAACTTCCAATTTCTTAAGTTCCAGACAGCACTTACCCAAGCATGGAAGACCAAACAAAATCTAAGCCACACAGACATGCTGGTGCTTTGTCAGCTTTTAAAATATGTACGCCACATATTTTTAGGATTAATTATGTAAACCAGGATTAATTTTGTAAACTTCCAGACTGGGATGTGACAAGAAACAATCTAGAGGAGCATGCTTCTGTGTAACCATTCAGTCAGAACCCATGACTAGATAAAACACAACCACTCTTTGGACATCTGGAACCACTCAGGCCTTCAAGGGGAAAGAAGGCAATGTTCTTCCAGCCTGGCATGATTCCATGACAATACTCCCGAAATCTGGCTCCTAGGGGGCCAGGGACTCTCACAAACAAACTGGATATTTGTGAAGCAGGGGTACATGTCTTGAGACTCCTACCACATTATAGCTATACAAATCAGAATATGCATTGGAAGATTCAGAGTTAAGAGGATCTGGCCATTCTGGGTTACCTGAAATCATCCGAAGAGGGTGTTTCCGCTGCTGCACTACATGGACTGCCATCATCACTGTCTACTCCCTGCTGCAATCTAGGGGGGGAAAGCCATTGTGAAAATTCTAAAAGCACAGAGCCTTTTCTAACTGCCTTTGTTGGACACATGAAACTGCCTTCTACTGAATCAGTGCCTTGGTCGATCAAGGTTAGTCTTGTCAACTCTGGCTGTCAGCCACTCACCGGGGTCTCAGGTGAAGGCCTTTCACCTCACCTACTACCCGATTCTTTTGTAACTGGAGATGCCAGGGATTGTGGGGGAAGAAAGAAACCTTTCCCCCACTCTTTCGGTGCCTACTTGGGGATTTTACAGCACACGACTACCCAGGGGCTAGTAAATGTTTTCTGGTGTATATGTCACAAGACAAAGAATAAAACCAGGAATCTGAACACTTAACAGGCTACATTTTGAAAGTAACTGGTATGCAAGTGAAAGGAAGTAGACCATATACTCAAGATCACTTCATGCGGAATACTCCCTACAGAAGACAAAGTATTAGCACACAAACAGTTTTGATAATCCCATTTTCTAAATTAAAAAGATAACTGCTCACAACTACAGGGATGAAGCATGGTAAAGATGTCCCCAGCTTGTTTATAAGATAATACAGTGCATGTTGAAAAGCAAGTCCCAAATACTCAATTTGCGTATTTGCTTTGTTCATAGTCCACCTTTTTTTTGCCAAGACTCAACACGGATTACAAAATTTAAAAATGATGCAGTAGAAACCATGTAAGACATCAACAAATAAAGCGATATAACTGGCTTATAAAATTAGAAAACAGTCCAATAAAAACCATATTATAGAAATTTTTAAAACAACACAGTAATAGTAAGATAATAGACACAATAAGCAGTGCAAACTACAGCTCCATTTCCTTTATAAAAGCACCTTTGTGGGCGTTTCTGTTTAACGCATTCTGCAAAATGACCGAAATGTGAGATCTCCCCAGGCTGGCCATTCCATAAAGTGGTAACCACAATAGAGAATGCTTTGGCACCAGGCACTGTTGATCTCACCCACTCCCAGGGCGGTGCCCATAGAAGCCGTTGCTCAGACGAGCACACCTATCATAACAAGGCATATCAGGAAAGGTGGTCCTTTACATATGTGGGTCCTAGGCCATGAAGTTTCAGTGGGATATGACTTATTACATTTCCAATAAATACTTCTGCACATGTGTGAAGCAGCACTTCATTGTATCAGCTCCAAACCTGCTACAAGTTGAATAGTTCAATGGGAATTAGTGCCAAGTACAATGAGGACTAAAGCCACACAGCCAAATCCTGCACTAGTCCATACTGATTCTTCCTCAATAGCTTTTGTTCATCAATGTGCCTACTAGTTCTATCTTTGATAAGGGATTCCACAAACCTATCCAGTATCAGTGTTAGACTGACCAGCCTGTAATTTCCCGGTCTCCTCTGGAACTTTTTTTAAAAGATGGGGGTTCCATTAGCCACCTTCTAGTCCTCAGGCCTGGCTGCTGCTGCTTCTCTGGAGCCAATCTGGGCCAAGCTGCAGGGGCAGGGAATGCTGGGAGCCACTCTGGGCCCAGTCACACCAGCAGGGAATGCCAGGAGAGGCTCCAGGCTAGGCCGCAGCAGCAGGGAACTCCAGCAGCTGCTCTGGGCCGGGCTGCAGCTGTGGGGAATGCCAGGAGAGGCTCTAGCCTGGCTGTGGCAGTGCAGAACACTAGCAGACTCCGGGCAGAGCCACAACAGCAGGGAACAGACACTAGGAGCTGCTCTAGACCTGGTCACTAGATGTCCACTGCTGCAGGGCTCAAATGTAGGGGAAAAGAGGGAGGGAGAAAGAAGGGGGGATTGGCTGGGGGGGGGGAGAGAAAGGAAAAGATGGGGGTATTGGCTTGGGGGGAAGAGAAAGAAGGGGGATTGGCTTGGAGAGAGAGAGAAAGACAAAGAAAGAGGGATCAGCTTGGCGGAGGGAGAAAAAGAAAGGGGGGGGAGAGGGAAGGAAACAAAGGTGGAGGAATGCCCCCTCCCTGCAAGTTTCTCGCGGATCCCCACTTGTATATCCTAAACTCAATGTAGCTTCCCCCCCCCCAACAAAATTTCTGCCCTGCCTTTAGGGTTGCCAGGTCTGGGTTGGACAATACTTCAGCATAGTACCATGCCATAGAGTCCTCCCTTCAAAGCAGCCATTTTCTCCAAGGGAACTGATCTCTGTCAGCTGCAGATCAGTTGTAAAAGCGGGAGATCTCCAGGCCCCACCTGGAGGCTGGCAACCCTACCTGCCTTCCAGCCCTCACCAGTACCACCAAGATGGCTAACAAATTAAAACATACATGATAAAATCACATTTGGGGGTCCACCTGGCTCTGGGGGCAGACCATTTTAAAAGACCCCCCCCCCAGCCCTGCAGAGTTTGGGTATCCTTGTAAATCTAAACCTGAGCAAAGAGTGATCCGTCCATGAACAGAGGTGCCAGCTCTGGGTTGGGAAACACCTGGAGATTTGGGGGGTGGGGCCTGGGGAGGGCAGGGTTTAGGGAGGGAAAGGACCTCAGCAGGGTACAGTGCTGTAGAATCCACCCTCCAAAGCAGCCATTTTCTTCAGAGGAACTGATCTCTGTAGTCTGGAAATCAATTGTAAAAGTGGGAGATCTCCAATCCCCCAACTGGAAGCTGGCAACTCTAAACAAAGGAATAGTCATCCATTTCTCAATACTCAGATCACATTACAAAGTACAACTGGATAAGGCGTCAGTGCCATAAGCTGCATTGATGATCACTGGTTTACGTGGCTTTTTAAAAGGAATAGACAGTCTCAGAGAGAATAGGCCTTTCAGTGGCCATTAGCCATGATACTAGCTAAGTAGAACCTTCATGTGTGAAGGCAGCATACTTCTGAATACCAGCTGCTGGTGGGCAACAACAGAGGATTGCTTCGGCCTCTGAGCCCCTTGCATGTAACTTTCCTAGAGGCATACATGGGTGACAGCGTACTGAACGAGACAGTTGCAAAAATATAGCCAAGTTAATCTGTTGTATCAAAATAAAACCACAGTCCAGTGGCACCTTTAAGATTAATAACATGTTCTTCAATAGAAGCCTTCATGAGTTCACTTCTTCAGATAGAGAGAAAATCATACTGAGAGTTCTTTTTAATATTTTTCCTACTTTCTCACTTTGAACCTCTGACCACTCCCAGCATTCATTACATGTAACTGCTAACTCAGTTGATTCATGATAGGACTCAAGCCTAACCTTTCTACCTCATCTCCTCTCTTTTCCCCTTATACTGAGAATTTACACTTGAAAGATTCATGGCAGAATTCACACCAAGCCTCTCTGCCTCAGCTCCTCCCTCCGTCTTCCGCCAGGTCCCCCCTGGCCACCAGCAGGGGATAGCAGGATAGGGCAGCCAGATCCAGGTTGGGAAACTCCAGATTGGAGGATGGAGCCTGGGGACGACAGGAACCTCAGTGGTGCACAATGCCACAGACCTTCCAAAGTGTCCATTTTCTCCAGGGGAACTGACCTCAGTAGTCTGGAGATGAGCTGTGATTCCAGGGGATCCCCAGGTCCCACCTGGAGGCTGGCATCCCGAACTGAAAGCTCATGTTTAAATAAATGCTGTTCGCCTTTAAGGTGCCATGGGGCTTTTGTTTTATATTGGCCAAGACGACGGACATGATCCAGCAGAGCTCTTTTTCTTTCTTAACAACGGTTCCAAATCATTTAGAGTAATCTCTAAAACCTAAGTGGTCACTGTTGGAAACGGAATACTGGGCTACGTGGACGTTGCTAGCAGTGCAGTTCTCAGTTTTTGGAGCCAGGGCGTGGGGGGGGGAGGTGAGGATGAGGTACACGACAAACAAACCAGAGATTATGAAGGGAGCAAGCAACTGGGCACAGAGGTTCTAGGGAGGGAGGCAGATCGTGGAGAGACGTAGACCCAGAGGCAGGCCCCGACGAGAACCCTCACCTGCAGCTCTGATAGCCGTACAGACAGTAGTAGCTGTTGTTGCTGCGCTCCAGTTTCCGCTCGTCCGAAAGGCCACCCCCCTCCTCGCTGCTCTCCAGTTCCCTATCATCCCCGTCCACGGACTCCTGGAAAGAAGGCAGCATCTTTCCTCCATTGAGCGCTTTGCTTCCGCCTGAGAGCAACGCAAACTCGCTCCCCCTTCTGCCGTACGGCTCAGCTATACAGTTCCGTCATGCCTCGCCGTGCCGGTACAAAGGTTCCGGCCACACTGCGTTCCACTAACGTCGACGACCGAGATAAACACAGCGCTGTCTGCTGTCGTCGGAAAGGATGAATTTTCTTTCTCTGGGTCTCCCGCAACTTCAAAAGAATCAACAGCTTCATTACTGGCGAACATTCAGTCTGCATGTTTGCTGTTCATTCTCTTCTTTGGGTTATAATAATGTATTTATTGTCGAAAAATAAACAGGAGTCCTGTGGCCGTTTAAAAACAATTTTTATAGTAGGATAAACTTTTTGCCGACTGGACCACTTGAAGTGGTAGTTTATGAAAATGCCAGAATGAAATTGTGCTAGCGTTTAAGGTGTCGCAAGACTCTTATTTTTGCTGCTAAGATGGCTACCACTCTGTGGGGCTTACTTCTAAGTAAACATACTTAGGATCAAGAAGCGAGGCTGCTATCCCTCGTGGGGGAAGGAAGTGTCGTCAAGTCGCAGTCAATTTACGACGGGTCCGTAGGGTTTTCAAGGGAAGAGACGCTCGCATGTGGCTTGCCATTACTTGCCTCTGTGCAACGACCCTGGACTTCCTTGGTGGTCTCCCACCCAAGTACTAACCAGGGCCAACCCGACTTAGTGTTGGGGAAATGAAGGGTTCAGGAACCTTTTCATACACTCCGGTAGACCTGCTTAGGTTTCCAAGATCAGGCTACCCTGGGCCGTTCGGACGAGAACACTCTTTAGAGAGTAATCTCTACCGAGATAAACAGGACATATTCTTTACAGAGACACTGGATGCGATTACACACTAAATAATCCAACTGAATTTTAATATACCAGTTCCGCACTGACACTTTTGTCACCCGTTTGTCCCTATTGCTTCAGGGCTCCCCCCCCCCCAGGTGTTTTGCTCTCTCTAGTAGCCCCAGAGGGAGCAAAACACATTTGGAAAGGTGGGGGGACCCAAAGCAATAGGTAAAAACGAGTGACAAAATTTACAGTGGAGAATTATGTGAACTGGCAAAATCCAGTTGGAAAGTGCACTGACCGCAGCCTAACTCCTATTGAATTTATGAGCGCTTAAATTGCGGTGAATGGGATTTTAAATCGCTTTATCCCAGACCAAAGGATGGTGTAGAGGAACGCTTGACCGTCTTACAATACTTTGAGCCCAGGTTTCGAAAACACACCACGACCCACTTAATTCAGAACTATAAAGCTAACCACCATAGGACCGTTGCCTACATTCCGCAAAACTCCTGTCCGCAAACTGAGTCAATTGTTAAACTACCGCGCTGCATGCCGGGAAAGAACCGCGCGTTCTGATCCCGAGTGACGGAACAATTCGTAACGTCTTCTTAAGGCTCCGTGCGCGCGCAATGCATGCTGGGTGTCGGGGAGCTCGTCGGAGCGGCAGCCATTTTGTGTCTGTCGGGGGAGAGCGCGGGTTGCGGCAGACGCTGGCGGTTCGTTTTGTTTTTTTTGCAGTTTCGGTAGTGGAGCCACGCCGCGATGGGTCGGAAGAAGAAGAAGCAGCTGAAGCCTTGGTGCTGGTATCCTTTAGTCACTCTGTGGCTGGTACCGAGCTTCTTAACTGGAAGCGAAAAGGGTGGGCTTGGCGGCCTGGTTCGGTGTTCTTCTCTCTGCTGGAGGTGGCGCGCCCTGCGGCCTACTTGCTCTATGTGGTCGGAGCGGTGGGGGCTCGTGGACTCTTTAGGCCTCTTACTCGCCTGCCTCGGCTCCACATACTTGCCTGGGCTAGATATTCCTTTATAATTCGTCTGTAATCTTTCTTTTCTCCTCGTGCCCGCCTGCTCGCCGTTCTTTCCGCCCTAGCGCGCTCCTCTTGGTCGGTGAGGTTTGTCCACGCTTATACGTACCACTGTGGGTGTGCAGCATCACGTGTAGCCATTAGCAGCTGATGATGTTTGTCCCTATGCCGTGAAAACTTTATTCTGCTCCTTCTTGCACGTTCAGTAGGTTGGCTTTTCGCTTATTCGTTTCTTTGGAGTCGGGTTGTTTTGTTGGTGATTAATTGGCCACCTAAGCCTCTGGGGTCTCTCACTTCCTACTGTTGTGGCAAGAAACTTGGTTCCTGTAAATGTTGAGGGGTCAGCATTGTTACATTTCTGTACCGGATTGTGTTCCTTAGTGTTTGGTAGTTTCCTTCCCAGTTTTTCATTGTTTTCTATGTTACCTATGGATATGAGTGTTATTATCCACAGGACGGCCTCTTCCATTTCATATTACCTCTTTTTTGACTCTGCTTCCACACCTTCACATTTAGGGGTTTTGGAGGCCCTTGTGTGTGTTGGCCTGGCCACCCACTGGAACTTCAGATCGTTACCTAATGTTTCTGTTTTCTCACTACTTACCCTTTAGTCTAAACATGGGACAGGTATTGGACCTGCATATACTACTGGGGAGGAATCTATCTCTGCATTAGTGAAAGTGAAGTAGCTTATAGGAAGTGTATATAAAACATTTTTACTTCTTTTTCATGGTATTAATGGGTAAAGGAGGTGCTTTACAATATTAAAATATAAAGTCTGTTTCCAACCTTCCTCTTGCTGCAGTTAATATTGTTTTTTTCTGAATTCCAAAGCAGACTGAGCATGACACGCACACCCATACTAATTGTCAAGCTAGATTTTCTGATAGAGGTATTGACTCATTAAGTGTAATCTGCTTTCAGTCCCCATGAGAAAGGCAGGTTATAAATACTGTAAATTAATAAATATATATTTATTTAAACATTTTTACCCCACCCTCCCCGCAAGCGGGCTCAGGGCGGCTTACAGGGGGCACAAGCCCATACATAAAATCCATCTGTGCTCTTGTCCTTTCTGGGTTAAAATTTACTGAGGTTTTTTTTACACATAATGAACCGTTTGCTTAATGTTTTTAATGTACCGATGTCATAGCTTCAACTTGAGCAGCCAAACAAATTAATGTATGGTTCAAGCAGTAATGGTTAGAGAACGGTTTTAACTGCTGAGTGTCCCAATATGGGACTAGTAAGAACCGCAGAAGAGTCTGTGCTGTGATATGTCAACCATGATGTTGCATACATTGCATTAGGATGTCACATGGTGTGATTGAAGCTATGTCACTTTATTTAATGGGCCTCACAAGTCAAGGGCATGGGGCCCTAGCCCTCTGGTGAAGTGAAGTACAACAATGCAAAAATTCCCTTCCTTGAGTTCTCCACAAATTGATGAAAATGTCAAGGATGTCTCATTTGTGGCACCTTTGGGTCAGGCAGAAACGTCTCCTTGCTCCAGAGCTCTATGACATGAAACCTGTTCCATTAGCAGGAGGAATGTAGAGTATTTTTCTTAGATGGAACTGTAAAAATATTGGTATTGCATATTGCTTTGCAAAGCTCAGCGCAGCATGAGATGTCAGCTATCCTAAGTCCATTGGAACACACAGAGGGCTTAAAGCTGAGTAAATGGAAGGAACAGACAATTACTGAACTAAGTCAAAAATTTTGGACTGCACTGGTTGTGGTCATTTATATGGGTATGTAGCTTGGGCATCTATCGTACAGCTTTTGCTGTGGGATTTAGCAACTCTCCTTCCCAATAAGAGCTTATAAACAGTACTGTATATACCTCCTTATCAAAGAAATGTGTAGAATAGGATTAGGAATTGTAATTATAGGTAATCAGAAAAGTCACATCTGACCTCCTTTTTTATATCAATCTGTGCATATGTTTAATTTCATGGGGTGTGTTTTGCCTTCATGTTTTTCTTAACAATCTTGAATAGGTATTGTAATAGGGATTTTGATGATGAGAAAATTCTTATTCAACACCAAAAGGCAAAGCACTTTAAATGTCATATATGTCATAAGAAACTCTATACTGGGCCCGGCTTAGCGATACACTGTATGCAGGTAAGTGCTTAAGAATACCACTGTTTTATCTGCTGTTTTGTTGTAAAGTGACATAGCATTTGTTAATCCTTATCTTTGCGTTGTTTGAGAGCATTAATAACAAGTACCAGAAACACAGCTGCTTTACTGAAGACTTAATAGGCTGGTTAGGAAATGGGCAGTTTTTGTCTACAGGCAGTTTTCTGCAAGGAAACATTTTCATTAAAATTCATAATTTTGTTAATTTTCAGAGACTTGGGAGAGTACAGTGATAATAGTGCTTGTATGTCTTTTCTATCATTTGGAAATTGCAGGCATCATTTATCCACGTTACACCCCATCGCTATCTCTTCTGTTCTCAACTAGAGAAATGTTGCATGTTCAAAGGAAAAAGGTTCTCCACAAATCCTCTCCTACTGGAGTGTGCCATGATGATCCTTGGTCCATCTAATCAGTACAGATACCTTAGTCTCTGAGTCTTCCTGACACCTTAGGCTTTTTATACTGCGTGTCTAGTGTGCAACTTTTTAAGGTGAACTGGTTTAGGGTAGAATGAAGATGGAATACATGCCTGTGAAACACTATTTATTTGAGGAGTGAAGGCTGATCAACAAGCACAAGTCTGCTGTTTCAGTGGAAGGCATTTAAGTCCTCTTTGAGGGCCAGAATCCCAAATTCTGATGCCTGTCTGAAAGAGGTAATGATCCTCAGAGGAAAAATCCAGCTGTGCAGTCCTAAACAGAGCTATGCTTTTTAAAGTCCATTGAAATCAACGAGCTGATAATGGGCTAACTCTGCTTAGAGTTGCACTGTAAATTTATTTATTAAAGCTTGGTTTACATAATTGCAGTCCCAAACACTTTCCAGTGACAAATACTGTAGAATTCAGGGAGTCTTGCTTTTGAGTAGGCACATGTGGGGTCATGCTGCACATCTACATCTGCATCCTAAATCTACGCTTAGTTTTGGAAATCTAGCTTTAGCTGCATGTAGTCTTTCCAATGAAATTTAATTGAAAAATAGGCTAGACTAGGAAATTATAATTCAGTCAAAACAAAT